TCACAATGCGGATTTTACTATACGCCCACGCTCCACACATACTTGTCCGTTCCATCTATCTCGTTCGCCGTGTTGCTCACGCAGTCCAGTCTTCGTCCGCCTACGCAATGCACTGTAACACGCGTGATGTCTGACGCGCGATTTCAGCAGCTTCCGGTCAGGCCTTGCCGACAAGCCTGCTGTCTGACGCGCGATCTCATCAGCTCTCGGCTGGGTCCTGCTAACACGCTCGCAAGGACTTTCCCACACACGATAGGTGACAAATGCGCGGGCGTTGGCACTCAGCTTTCTCGCCCAGCTGTCACCTCCCTATCCGAATGGAGTCACCTTACACACCCTTCGAACCTGATTGCGTTCGTAGCTTTTCGCCCGGGGATCGATTTGCAGGCGTTTCGCCTCTGTGACAGGGAGCGATCTTAGTATTTACAAATTGCGCGATTATTTCAGTCATCCTATCGCATTTTTTCATGAGCAATGATAAACAGTTGACAACAGGTATGACTTGACATGTTGGGCAAAACCAAATTGTGTCAGCAACTTGGTTTGTCTGTCTCACTTCTTGGACAGATTTGCCTGCACATTGCGGACAGTACGACCTAATGCAGCTAGAACAGGTAATACTGATCTTAAGCACTTTACTGCAGTTGTCTGCACAACATAGGCGACGTTGAATCATTGGAATGCTAGTTGTCCTTTTATTCTTTACAGCAAAGTCTACCTAGGCGCTCGCCTTGACGAGTGTATTTTGCGCTAAGGGTGACGCACGAATAGGTCGGAACACGCACAAGAATGGAGAGTTGTTCAACCGCACCAAGGTCAGGCGGAGAGGCGGATAGAGGTCGTAACGCGCAGACTGTCGGATTCAGCGATCAATCGACTCACAGTGGTACACACACACACACACACACACACACACAAAGCGGCAGCGTGTTAATGGGCCTGCCTTAAGCGACGATGCAGCTGGAGCGCTGATAAGCGTCCCTAGAGCTGCTCAGTTGATGAGCAAAAAGGTTGTAACCTTGTTATGCTGCGACTTGCAGGGATGATTGCCGCGTAGTTTGGGAGCCGTCAGCTTCTTCTTTCGAATGAGACCAAAATCTTTTCTGAAAGACCGCTCTGATGCAGTTACACAAGTGGAATTCGGCAAAGAATATGCCGAAAACTGGGAACTGGAGCAAGAGTATAATCCACACAGGTTAGATCCAAGAGTTGGGAAGCACTGAGTAGAGCTCGTCGAACTGGTTCGAACGAGCGCAAGCACAATATTGTGTGGGGAGAATTGGAGTGGCCACAGAGGGCAAAGCGAGAGACGAATTAAAGTGCGTTTAAACAAATGTCACGGAACAAAGGAGAATATGAAGTGCAGACTAAAAAATTAAAAACTAGCACATTAATTGTGTGACAAGTAAATATTCCTTTAACATAACCAAGTAGGAAACTGGTGCGGAAAAAACCAATGGAATGTGTTCTTGCAAATGGCACTGCTGAAGAGGCCACGGAGATGAGCGTCCATTAACAATGACGTGTGTGTACCAACTGAGCTGACACAGTGGAGCGTTTAAACAACATTCAAGAAGTAAAACAGTGGGTCCCCCTTAGCCATTTCGTTAAGGCAGAGAGAAGACAGAGGTTGCGATATGTCAACATTTCGATTGTTCTCTTCAGTCGCAAACACAGTACGATCAGAAACATACAAGGGATTGCCTTAACGAAATGGCTGAAGGGGACCCAATGTTTTAATTTTCTGAAAAGAAGACTCCCCGCTACCGTTGCGAGAGCATTAGACCGATTGTTGTCTCTGCGCTGCAAGTTAGCTGTTGAACGCGTCCATGTGAAGTTTTTTGAGGAATGTATCCGCTCAGGTTCCTTCCCGCCGCGATTCGCCAAGACCTTGTCTAGGAACAGGTTGCCGATAAACAACACCAATCTGGCCAGGATCGCGTCGGCGCATATTGACGCCTGTCTGGAACGAGAACGGAAATTTATCGAGACACAGAGACGATTCGCTTGCACACTCAATGAGTTGCCGTTGGTTTGTCGATTAAAATTTGAGGCCTTTTCCGCTGAAGTTCTCCATCGCACGAGAGCAAAAACAGTGCGTAGTCTGCAGGGTTCTCTTGCTAAAGCCACCAATGCTTCCTTTCCTACTGATTGCTTGAAGCACGTATACAATTTGTCCTCTGCTCAGTTCCCGTGCGCTCAATTGGAAGTTCTCTCGCTTGGAATGAAATACCGACTGTCGCCAAAAGCGCTAGGCAAGGCCATCACGCAGGCGCATTGTGAGTATCTGAATGAAAACCTCAGTGACCTCACGCTAAGATCGACAGAAGATGCGGGTTGGTTTCGGGCGAAATTGGTAGACATTGCGAACCAGTTTCTGTGTACGCCTATAAGTCAGAGGTGCTGTCTGCAACCTGAACACTATACGGCGATCAAGGAGTTGAAACAAATGAAGCACGTAATGTTCCTGCAGCCGGATAAGGGATCGGGTATTGTATTAATGTACGGGCCTGACTAGATTTCGAAGATGGAGTCCATTCTAGGAGACACACGGAAGTTCCAGCTAGATAATACACCGGAAAACAACATCCTGGTGGAGAAGTAGGTGGCAAGGAAGCTCCAGATTCTCCTGCTACATGGTTACATCAATGAGTCACAGTACAGGCACTTAAAACCGACTGGGACACAGACACCTAGAATGCGAGGCGCTCCCAAGATACACAAAGCAGGATTTCCGCTACGTCCGATTATGTGCAGGAACAATTCACCTTATCACAATGTCGCGCGGTGGCTGGCCAAACTATTAGATCCGGTACGTAAACTCCTCGCTACGTATTGCCTGAAGGACTCCTTTGAACTGGCTGAGACACTGGAACAATTGTCACTGAGTGCAGAGCTTATGTACTCAATAGATGTGGACTCCATATTCACAAATGTGCCTTTACGTGAGACGATTGATAATTTATGTGATTTTATCCTGAGTCAAAATATCTCTGTTGGCCTGCCAGTGGAGTATTTAAAGGATATGATTCTCTTGTGCACCTAAAACATGCGGTTTGAATTTGAGGGGACCGCTTACAAAAAGGTCGACGGCGTCGCTATGGGCAGCCCGCTGGGACCAGTTTTGGCCGACATCTTGCTCGGCCTGATAGAAAGACAAGTTGCTGAGAGCATTAGTGAAGCGAAATTGTATAGACGATATGTGGATGACATTTTAGTCTTCACCAGCGGAGAACATTTTAACCGTCTGCTGACCATCCTAAATTCGATTCACTTTAATCTGTCGGTATCCCTTGAAATGGAACAACACAGTTGCCTGGCTTTTTGGATATACTCATTAGGAGACAGGCTGAAGGTACGTTGCAGTGCACCGTTCACCGCAAATCGACTTGGACTGGACAGTACCTGCATTTTTCAAGCTTCGCCGCGATCGCATACAAATGCGGGTTAGTGAGAACTCTCTTCTACCGGGCTAGGCGTATTTGTAGCCCCGAAACGTTACAAGCCGAAGAAGAATTTCTACGCAAGACCTTAATTTCTAATGGATATCCTGAGAAGTTTATTCAGGTACACAGCAGACATCCCAGCGTGAAAACACCGGTGTTGACTGCTGAGAAAAAGAATGTTTATTTGTTCTTGCCGTTCAAGAAGAACCATGTGGCAAATGACATCGGACGCAAGCTCCGGTCCGCCCTAACGCGAACCTAGACGACAGCCCAGTTGCGACTCAGGCATACCATGCGAGCACTTGTTCTTCATAACCGTCAGAGCATCTCGTCGGGCAGTTCGGCCACTCAAGTTGTTTATCAGTTTACCTGCGGTTGCGGTGACATTTACATAGGCAGAACAAATCGTCAGTTAGCTCAGAGGGTAGCTGAAGACTTGCCAAAGTGGTTGGGACAAGTGATTACGCAACAACATGGGACGAATCTGAGAATCAATAGGAGCCCGGCATCGTCTATCACCAAGCACTTCATGACAACCCGTCATCACGTAAACCCCGAGACAGCGTTCAAAGTGTTATTACGTAACAAAAACCCGATAATGCTAGCAATTGGTGAGGCGTTGTAAATAAGGCTTATCAACCTCTGCTATGTGCACAGAAACTCTTGAGACAATCCATTCGGTTGCCATGGTCTTGACTGTGACATTTTGATTGGTGGTGCCTTTTTTCCCATGTATATAATCCCTTGTATGTTTCGGATCGTATTGTGTTTGCGACTGAAGAGAACAATCGAAATGTTGACATATCGCAACCTCTGTCTTCTCTCTGCCTTAACGAAATTCAAGAAGTAGAAAATAGGAAGAATAAAGAATGGCTATTAAGCTCGTTCACTAAATATGAATGTCTAATAGCTGTTCTCCTAATATATTTGTCGCTGCCATTCAATAGATGCAAATGTTCCGAACACGGTAAACGATTACGTGCGGTCGTCCTTAACACTTTTGGGCCGCGTGGTTACGCATCATCTTCACATCCACACCCGTGCTACGCGTCCACCTGAAGGATAAAGTGTCTGTGAAGGTCACCTCTTGTGTGGATCGATTTCCCTGTTCCTGTGGATCAAGTTACATAGGTGGCACCGCGAGACCTTTGATCGCGTTCGCGTTCGCTAAGCCGGTGATTGAATACTAGTCGTAAACTTAGTCCAAGCAAATCATCCGAACGTTCTCTCTAAGGTCTTTCGCACGATCTACCATGGGTGAGGTGCCCATTCCATACTTATCAGATGCCAAATTCTTGCACTGGAGGAGGCGAAAGCGATTCGTCTCAACAACCCTCCATTGTGTGTATAAGCAGTTGGTCAAGGCTTTGACCTTACCAAGGCCAGCTATCGACCAGGTAGCTTCCACGTGAACAAATCATAGCCAGTAACTTTATTTGACAGCATTTTCTAATTATTCAGTCCGCCTTTTCTTATGCTGACTAGCCTAAAAATTAATCACCGAAAACGAGCATGTTTGCACAAATTTGGGAACCGTGGTTCAGTAAAACATACCTGAACCTCGTGTTCCTGGGAAGTCAGTGTGTTAATTATTCTCACAAATCTGGTTTTCTGCGTCAAGCATCCAATAACGTATTTCGGATCTTTCCACCAAGGGGTTCCAATATCAGTAGCCCAGTCCGTTGTGGGGTATGGCGGAGGGATGTGTATGAACCGTCCATGTGGTGTGTATGGAACCAAGCAATGAGTCTCTGGATCCATGTAGTGGCGCACATCTCCAGTCAGACTGTCAAACCAGTGTGATATGTCCGTTCCTGCCTCAGCGAGCAGTGGCTCAAGCAGCACGTCACCTTTCAATGAAGTAACAGGGCATGCCTTTCATTTCTGGCATTTTCCGAGGAAGCGAATTCGACATGAACAAACAAAAAGGCTGAAGTCGCAAAAACATTAATCATCAATGGACACCAGAAACATTTCAACCGAAACACGTGAATGAAGCTAAGTTTTGAAACATTCCTAATCTCAGCTGATGCTTATCAATCTCTGAAGAATGTGCGCTGAATGCCATGGCAACTGTGAGGCAAACATGTTAACGCCACAGTGATACATTTGTTCATGCCATTTATAGCAAATAACTACAATGCTAGCTTTGTATGATCTGTAAGTTGTATTACGTAAAACATGTTAACCATAGGTTGGACTGCAAACTTAACTGAATGTCTGTGCGGTTTCCTTAACGTGCCGACGAATAAACAAATGTTGACTGTCTTGCTTTAAAGCCTTCATATGATCCGTGGGTAAAGATACAATTATGTAGGTATTCACTTGCAAAATGTGTTACCTTTATACTCAGCACAAAGTTCGGTTAAGTCGCAGACCTTTCCAAGGTATGAGACCCAGCAATCCTCTGGAGTGTTGTGCAGTATGACGTCATTAGGCGTGTAGAACCTCTTTACCATGAGATGTACTGCGCGGCGACCTTAGTGGGAGATGTACTTATTCTGACAAGCTGAAAAAGGAAAATGCTTTTCAGATACAATTTACGGTGCAGCTAGTAATAGTATTTGGTACCAGCAGAGGAGCAGCGGATATGCATGTACTAGAATGGCTTGATGTACGGGTAGCCCGGGCTGATCGTGCATGGGTTCAACTGTTCGCCATGTTTCGCAATTGGTATGCAAACTTTGCATACCAATTACGAAGCTCGGCGAACAGTTGAACCCAGGATGCATGTACTAAAATCGGCCAGTAAGTGTAAATTCATCGTAAGTAAGGGGTACCCAAATACACTAGAGTAGAAGCATCAGTAATTTATATAACGCTGTTTTTTGACCCAGCCCACAAATTATCTGTCTTAGCGCAAGTTTTCGCATATTGTTTTGTTGTATATCTGCAGCATTTTGTCCAAAAATCGAGCTTGTAAGTTGGCTTTGAAGCACATTTCGCATAGAGCATCGCATACCGTGAATCCTTCTTTGATCCAATGTCAAGTGGTGACAAAGTGAGAACGCAACAGCGCACTACTATTTCAGCCAAAATTCTGACTTTCGAATTATGACGTCCAAGTGCATGGGCGTTACCTCTCACTTCGAGCCCGTGCATTGCTGTGACATCGAGGTCACAATGAAACATTGATTTAATATGGGTGAAAAACTACAGCTTTGCTGGTCCTGTAGGGTGGTTATGGTGAATATTGCAAAATATTAAAAAGGTATCAAAATAAGTGCATTCAGGCCGGTGGACTCACTGAGATACACATAGTAAAAATCGAAATCCACTGTAAACCCATAACGAATAACGACAAATTAGGCTCTTGTAAAAACCGTGTCACCTGGTGAGGACGTTCAGAAATTAACAAAAGTAAAATGTATGCTGGGAGCTGACCGACAATGAGATCTAGGGCAGACACTTGTGTTTGTCGACGTTCAATGAATCACGTTGTGTTGTGCACCGAAGTGAGTGCACGGTCAACTCGGGCTTTGAACTCTACCAGCGTCGGAGCACAGATGACAGATTCCGGTACGGCATTCGCCACTTATGAACCACTTGCGGAAAGTGATTTCGACGGCATTTCAAGTGACTGTACTGCTCTGACAGTTGGTGAATTTCCAGCTTACTGATTTGAGTTGGCTTCAGCAAATGGTGACACTTGTGGTTGGGGTTTCTCAAAATCTTGTAAGTCAAAAGTAGGTCTACAACGTAGTATCCGGTATCATTCGGTGAAGACTCCGAGCATCCTCAGCCTTTGTTATACGGCAAATGGAACAAGCATTTGACATTCCTGGTCGTCCGACATTGGAGTATCTACAAAGTGCTGAGACCTCTCTTCAGCCATGGCTGCCAGACCTGTATTGCGTATTCCGCATTTGGACTTATGTATGAGCCGAGAAGCTGCTGGGAAATTGAATGGCCGATTCGTCCAAATGCACCTTTCAGGAGGTCCACGTTTTGGATGTCTCTTCTTGTAGCCTTTAAATCTGGTTCGATGAGCCAAGGTCGGCGGGGATCAAAACTCTGGGATACTTTTCGCCGAAAGACGTTTAAGCTCCTGGTTGTCCAGTTTCTAGCTGAATGCCATATAGTGTCGTAAGTGCAGTACTACATTTTTTCATAATTGAACCGAAGCAGCTAACGCATTGACAATGCGTCAACTCTAGTAAGATCCTGTTGAAGTAGTGTAAGATTATCAGGGGTATTGGTCACTGTCTACATCTCGATCTCATTAACATGGAGTAGGCAATTCGAACTTATGAGGCGTGTTATTTGTTTGATATACATCAGAAATAACTGTGGCTCCAGTATCAATCCCTGTCGTACTTTGCATTCGACTTGGATGGGATAGGATAAGGGTTCACGCACTATTATCTCCGAGCGCCGGTGGAGAATAAAGCTTCCCACCCACTTTAGGATAGGGTCGTAAATTTTGAAGTTCTGGTGTTCGGAGAGGAGAATACCATGGTCTAACCTGTCAAAGGCATTTAAGCAGTGGATAAAAATTATAGCAACTACTGCACTAGTGTCTACTGCTTCGGCCAGCTGGTGGTAGTCGCATAGCAGTGAAATGCCATCATGACGTACAGCTGACACTATTTTTTATTGTTATCCTGCTGGCAGTAGATTTGTAGTGCACAATCGATTTCGTCGAAAGCCATGCTGTTGGGGTGCAAAATAATTAGATGCTTCCAGTGTAGGCTGTTAGCGCATCGGTAGTAATGGCTTCCGGGAACTTTGTGAGCACTGGTAGGAGAGTTACAGAATGGTATTGGCTGGATCTGATTGACTACCTTATAAATTTTAGTTATCGTCCAGTGCTTCCACATGTCGGGCACATCAATTTCTTCGAAACAGCGTTAGAGGATGCGAGATAAATGCCCAGGTAGGCTCTTTCTTACCGCCGCATGTGATTTCGTATGAATATTATCAAGACAAGGAGAGTTTCGGTTACTCATAAACGACAAAATGTTCAGTACAGTTTCTGCCCTAAAGAATATGTGAGTGGATTTTCGAGATGGGGCGACGCTTGCCATGGGTTGGGTAATCACTGAACACCCTGAAAGCTTAGAGGGTATTGCAATCTCAGGACATTCGTCGCATCCTTCATGGTCAGTGTCAGTTCGTGCGCTGTTTGAAGAGGAGGAATTCCCTGTCTCATGTTACATAGGTTGTTTAAACGTTGAGTTGAGATTATACGTTTTGCAAACCTCTGCTTGTATGCTATGTTATCCTCGTAATAGTTAGCGTACAATGGTTACGTTGAGTCAAAAAGGCCATCCAGGTCTCGGTGCTCGGAGTGATCTTAAAGATATGCTAGGAATTTCGCATCGCTATGCACTTGTGTGTCCTGCTTCGCAAAAAAGACTTCACGTTTCTCGAGTGGACAGTTTAGTTTCTGATGCTTCCGCAACCAGTGTGCTAAACTGATTGACGAACTGTTGTCATGCCATAGCCGTTGCTTCATCTGTCAAGAACTCCTGGTCATTTATCCCACCGAGTCGAACTAATATGTCGTAGCGTATTATGGTCCTCGTTGCGTCGGTACTTTCCACGGGCCATACTGCATAATAGATGTATTGGAAGAGGATACATGATCACCGCAACCCATAGGGACTTGGACAGTCACGCTTTCGCTCAGGAGTTCTTCATTGACGAATATCTTACCCAGTACAGACGGATTATCAGTATCACTAAATCTGGTGGGTGTTGATGTGACAAGAACGCTGAAAACTGGAGACCACCTCTTGTAGATCCGTTTTGAACTCTTCTCCAGAGCGGCTTGGGATTCCAGAGCGTGGATGCTGAAATCGCTAGTGATAAGAATGTGACTATACTTCTTGTTTATCACCCGTCACCATGCGGATGCCAGACTGAAATCCATCTGGGGGTGGAGGAATTATTCCTCCCCAGCAGGAGTCGTCGCCTTTTAAACATAGAGAATACCAGGGAATCCTCTACCGTACTGGCCGAATCATCCATGACCTTTCAATGGATGTCACTGCGAAAGTACCGGACTACCTCTCCCCCATCACGGGGTCGGTCATGCTTAACAACGGACATGTCTGGTACCGCGACCTCAATATCAATTATGTCGGGGCTTAGCCATGTATCCGTTATAGTGATGAGGTCATAGACCTTTGACCTCGGACGGAGTAGCGGTTCGGAATGTTTACTAAGTATGACTTGAGCATAAATGTAAATAAAGGATATGTTCTTGCACGTTAGAAGCTTTTGACAAGGAGTGTATGAAGGAGTTGAATTTATGCCGAGCGACAAGATGCCAACACCCAAACCTTTTTTGGGTGATTTGCCAAGTCTGGACATAATAAATACGAATAATGTGTCAGCTGTACGCCATAACGGCGCTTCGCTGCCGCTCGACCACCGCCAGTCGCGCGCGGGCTGAGTATACCGCGAGGACGCCCACCCCTACGCGGATTCGAACCGGGGACCTTATGGTTGCAAAGCAAACGTGCAGACCACTCGGCCACCGGCAACAAGCCTGGACATGGATGTAGTCGGTTTTTTGTCTCACCTGTACATATTGTATGCACTCCAATGGTAGCTTTCTAGATAGCTACTGGTCTGAGCACAGAGTTTTCTGAATTGTTGCTGTGGTTATATTGAGTCTAGCCAGATGCTGTTTTCTCATGACAGTGCGTGGCTGCGGTTCTCTAGCTGCTACCTCTAATCGTAGTTCCAAAGGAACTGTGTTTTCCAATGTCCAGTGGCTACCGATTAAGTTCACCGATATCACTTGTGATTGAACCATGAGTTTTAGTGACCTCCGGTCACGGCCTTTGTAGTGAAACGACACGGATATCCTTGAAATGAATAGTAGTTTGATGTCAGCAGCACAGAGAGCATCATAGATGGACCGCCATTCTTCCAGGTTATGAACATGGGCTACCTCGTTGTTAGTTGCCGATAAATGGAGCAGACCATGAAAGTTCTTTTGCTACTAACCGTCTCATTTGAATCGTTTGCGCCCCGCTGAATACCTTCAGAATAATATGCCAAAAGATACGAGCTTACCTAGTGACAAGCGTAAAGTTGTGGTGTGTACCAAACGCCCTCTAGCTGAACTGCACCCAATCAATTCACGTTATACTCCGCGCATGCTGTATTCAAACTTAAAGAAAATAACCTGTATTCACTGTGTATGTACTTGAAACTGGATATGCCATAACCATAGAAAGCTAAAGTCGAGTTTCCTCTACCACAAAGACGGAACTATTATTCGCTAGTGAGGACAAAGAGGACCAGATGGTTAGGCTCAAACTACGTGGCCGTGACGAATGCTAGCCCTTCAGCAACAGATACCTAAGCAAGCTGCAGTTAAGGTTAAGAGGAACTTAGTACCGAAACACGGAGTCAAGCCAGACACTGTACAATCACAGCTGAGGTTTTTTTAATTCGGAGTAACACAAATGAACCAAGTGTTTGAAGAAATACCATGTCACCAAAAAGCAGTGATTCTCGAAAGAATTATAATCTTTCACAATCCCTATCTGAATCGGATAGAGATATCAGCTGAGAGAATACCTGATGACCAACCCATTCTTGTATTGATCGTCTTCATACTATTTGACGGGGGCAAACGGGAGGCGAAGTTCGCCCCTGCCGTCAGCCGTTACAGAAAATGCAATGACCAATCTAAGGCTCAACTTCTGAAAAT